TATCATAATCCTACCTATGCCCTCACTTAAAGAGATCCACGGTGCCTCTACATTAGATCTATATTAAAAGACTGAAAAAGGCCCTTCATGAAATTCTAAAAATGTGCCCTCTCCATCCCTCAATAAAGGAGTCTGAGTGTGAGGTTCATTTATAAGCCGACCATGTCGCAAAATCGATTTAATCCAGACAGATTCCATTAGATTTAAACATAAACTCAGTTAGAGCACTCCATCCCTGCTCCTCAAAGAAGAGTAAAAAAACGGGACAGAGTGAAATGAGTACCATTAACATGGAGAGGTGCATCGTAGCTTTTGAAAGCTTGTTGGAGTGGGATACAGACCAAGGTTAGTCATTTCCATTTTCATTTAGCAGGCACAGAAAAGAGAGGCCACACAGGACTAGAGCTGCTCAGCTCCACAACCAAATCCATCAGCCTTTACATACACATCTGCAAACTAGATAATAAAACAGAAAGGAAAAGAGGATGACGGACACTGAATGAAAACATATGGCTGGCATACGTACGTATATGCACAGAAATGATAGCCTGCCTGACAGTTCATGTTGAGGTCTATTTGTGGCCACAAATGGCTGACAGTATTTGTCTTGTCATGCTTTTTACATGCCTATTTATCAAATAAATTATTAATCGCATGTTTGAAATTGCAATATTGATTCAAATGTACATTATATAGTGATATGTGAGACATGAATTCAGTTTTATAATATTGTGATTTATGTTTAGTTATTCTGCAGTCTTAAACTTGCTTCTTTATCATGTATTCTTAATTACTTCAGTACTTTGTGCAATGATATTCTTGGCTCATTCTCAGTTTGAATTTTGATTGAATAGAAATAATAGAGTCTGTATTGATCTAATGCTACAGTGCATTTAGTCTACTCAGATTTGCTTTGAATTGTGGTTAATCTCCCTTTTCCCAAAAATATTGTGATTTTTTGGTGTGAGAAGATTGGCATAGTATAATGAGTATAATAAAATATCGAAATACTTTTCTCCATCCTATTTTTAACAATATTTAACATTTACATTTTTTCATATTTTAATTTAATGGAAATCATAGTGTGTTCATTGACCTAATGCTACATTTGGCCTATTTAGATTTGCTCAGATTTAAATTGTAGTTAAAGGGGTCATATGATGCAATTTAAATTTTTCCTTTCTCTTTGAAGTGTTACAAGCTCTTGGTGCATAAAGAAGATCTGTAAAGTTGCAAAGACTAAAGTCTCAAATCCAAAGAGATATTCTTTATAAAAGTTAAGAGTCAGCCACACCTACCTAAAACGGCTCGTTCTAACATGCCCC